CTGCGCAAGAAAGTCTGGCTCCTGTTGTATGACTTGTGCAATGGACTAGTAATTTATGTTAGTGTTGTCAATTCACGAAGCCAAGTACGAAGTGGTAGTCATATACCTTTGAACGAAAACTTCCTTCGACATCTGGGTTCAACTCCCTCAATAGGCGGCAGGTTTCCTCAGCCCTGGATTTTCCCAGACTCTCTTCCTCGAGAAAGAAGTTCACTCCCATATCAGGCTCTGTAACAACAGCAGGATCTACAATTGTGAAGCCACCAATACCGGGGAGCACAAGGTTCTTGAGGGTTTCGACGCCAGCCACGCCTGATACCCCCGTGGCTTGATTCCCCCAGGAACCATCAGAGTTGACTAATAAGACACGAGACTCTTCCAGAGCTTGCTGCCCGCTCGCAGCCCACAAACGTAGCTGGCGATCGTACTTCCTCTCTTTCGAAGATGGCCCAACCAGGGCACCAGGGAAAGTGTCAGTCATAATGCGCGGTTGATATAGTTCTTCAGGTCAGTCTGAAAATTCAGGTATACTTCAAATTCGAAAAGGAAGAGCGAGAGTCAATATAACGGCAAAGTCGACGGGCCCTCTTTACTGAAGATTATAGCAATGTATCTGCTTGTGTTGATGATTGTCAGGCATAGCTGTGATATGATCACATGACCTGGAGCCAGACGACCCGTGTGATGTGGTGGCCCGAGAAACCTGAGGCACTAATTGGTATGACGTTATAACCCCGCTGTCAAAAAGATTGATGTACCCGACACTAACAGGTGTATTATCTATTCTGTGGTTCGCTCAATTGGAATATCTCATCTCCCATTGAACCATTTCATTTGTCATGTCATGTCGGTGATTCTTCCTCGAGTGCACTCTTTTCCCCTGTAAGTTCATAGTTGTGGCCGTGTGGCTCCACGGAAAAGTTCTTTGGTTCTCATACTGGACTCCCCCACACCGGGGTGGTTCTCTGGCGATGGTATCGGGCCATTTTTGGCTCCAGCTGCGGGCCCTAGAAAACCTTCCTCAAGGGAATGCATGCCTGTCAGCTCTCAATCTAATTGTTAATCTATGCTCTGTAGGACACGGCCCTTGTTCCATTTCTCCTCATTTATCTCGTCCCCTCGACCTTATCTCATCTACCCTACTCTTTCCCCGATCCATCACCCTCCGACTCGTTTTCAGTCCACAATGGCTAGCGCAGTCGAGACCGCAAAGCGCGCCGCCGGCAAGGCCGCTGTCGCCAACCACTACCCCAAAGATGCCAAATTTGTCGGTATCGGCAGCGGATCTACTATTGTATATGTTGTCGAGGCTATCAAGGAATCTGGCATTGATACCTCTATGACAAGATACGTTCCCACCGGGTTCCAATCAAAACAGCTCATCCTTTCCGCCGGCTTGACAGCAGTCGAGTTTGATTCGCTACCCGAAGGAACCGTACTTGATGTCGCCTTTGACGGCGCGGACGAGGTCGACGATGAGCTCAACTTAATAAAGGGCGGCGGCGCCTGTCTTTTCCAGGAGAAAATTGTGGCTCTGCAGGCCAAGGAGTTCATCTGCGTGGCAGGTTAGCGATGACTCATGCCGTCATGCGGCGGAAACCGGAATGAAAGACAAAACATCACTAACGCTCACGTCCAGACTCGCGCAAACTCCAGTCTCGTCTCCTCACGAATTGGAAATACATCCCCATTGAGGTGGCACCTATCGCGGCCCCTCGTGTCCTAACCAAGCTGCGAGAGCTGGGCAGCATCCAGCCCGCCATTCGGCTCAGCGGCACCTCCAAGGGACCCCTAAAGACGGACCAGGACTTCTACATCATTGACGCTCCTTTCCCACCATTGCTCACAAAGGCTGACGTTGCCGCTGGCAAAGATGGGAACGGAAAGGGAGGAATCTGGGAGGTCGATGCCCTGGCGCAGGCGATCAAGATGATTGCGGGCGTACTGGAGGTTGGCATTTTCTCCGGCGTGACTGGACCTCAGGCTCAAGCGCTTGGGGGTATTGGAGGCCAGAAGCCCATCGCTGCTTACTTTGGCATGCCCGACGGCACAGTATCGGTCAGGAAGGCCATTTCGTAGCCTTCTTCACATACTGATATACTCCGCACCGTGGATTACAGCAAAAAAGGCGACTTAGATATTTATGATACCATAAAACTTCCTGCATGACTTCGTCCCGTCAAATTTCACCGGGGCTGAAGATCCAGATTGCACAGCTTTCTTTTACTGTAATTATTACCCAGATTCATTTCCACACGCTAGCCATAAAGTAAAAGGGATTCTAATTAACAGTATAGATGTTTACTTCGCACCCTTTCCCTTCGCCTCAGTCTCGCCCAATTCGCGCACGTAGATTCGGACAGTTCCCTCTGCGACATCGTCTTTTCCGTCTTCGAAACCAGGACTAACAGCAATCGCCAAGTACTTTCCATTGCCGCTGAAATCGACAGCAGCAATGCTCGACGGGTATTTCTGATACTGCCTGATCCGCCTCTTCGCAATACCGTCCCAAAGCGCAACGACACCATCACCACCACCAGACGCGAATGTTCCATGAATGGGATGGAACGCAAGTGTGTTCACGGGATACACAACGTCAACATCATCAGCCGTCTGTCGATGACACTTGAAAGCATATTTCCGTGCTTGCGAATCAGCAGACGGATCAAACCACTCGACTGCGACTCGTCCCTCTATGCTCGAGGATGCGTAGCCGGCGTCATCGGGCATGCACGCGACACAGCGGGTCATGAATTTGAGACTGCTCTCTCGTCGCTGCCACGGCTCAATCTCAACCTTGTTCGGAGAGGTGGCGTCCGACTGGTCTGTGAGGAGCGCCAATGCTTTCAGGTCGTAAATGTGGAGGGAGCGCGAGGCCATAGCAACAACGAGTTTCGTGGCGGTGAGAGACATGGAGAAAGGCTTCGAAGGGAGAGGAATGATCGCGGGGATCGAGTCGGCTTCAGTATTCACGCGATGTACATGTAACGTCGAGTCCCACGATGCAGATATGACAATGTTATGCTCCTTGCTGTAGGCGACGCACCGAACCCCAGCGTCATGGCTGCTAAGCACTGTCTGTGTAGCTGATGTGACATCGATCCTGCCATATGTCAGATAAAGGAACTTGAGACCCCCAGCAAAAGGAAAGCACCAAGCGGCGAGGGAAAACCTACTTTCGGACGTCCCAATCCAAACCCGCTGTGTAGATCACATCCTCATTCTCGCCAAAACACGCGTCGAGCACCGGCGCACGCTGTTCAAACTTCTGTAACAGCTTTCCTTCACAGACATTCCCATTCTCGTCCCGCAGGTCGTAAAGATAGACGTTCTTGTCCCATGATGAAACGACAATTCGCGTTGAATTTGGATCCGGCGAGAACTTCAAAGCGGAGATGGCATCTGTTGGCGGATTTGCGACCGTGAATTGATCTAGATTGCGGTCAGTACTATCATGTATAGCGGTTTCTAATGAGCTTACTCGATGCCATATTGTGCTTAAATTCTTCTGAGAAAGTGAACCGGTTCAGTCCTAAGCTATATCGATATCGTCGATTGCCCGGCGTCATTGAAGCTCTGCGCTTTAGGTCGTTTTCTGCCCGCTTATACCGCCTTGACATATTTCCCTCCCCGCCATCGCCCGCATCGTAAACCATCTAGAATTGCCTCCCTTGCCATCTGTCTCTTTGGGAGCTCAAAATGCCTTTCGCACAGCTGGTAATAGGGCCCCCGGGTGCGGGGAAGTCAACATACTGCAACGGTATGCATCAGTTCTTGGGAGCTATCGGCCGGAAGTGCTCTATCGTGAACCTGGACCCCGCAAATGACAAAACATCGTATCCGTGTGCGCTGGACGTCCGCGACCTCATCACTCTCGAGGAGATTATGAGCGAGGATCAACTAGGCCCTAATGGTGGTGTCTTGTACGCACTGGAGGAACTGGAGGAGAACTTTGAATGGTTGGAGGATGGGCTGAAAGACCTTGGAGGTAGGCCGTGACCTATCCTTGAGTTTACTGCTATACAACCTAGAGCACGATAGTTGATACCCCTTTGAATAGAGGACTATGTTCTGTTTGATTGTCCGGGCCAGGTGGAAATCTTCACGCACCATTCGTCGTTGCGGAATATTTTCTTCAAAATACAAAAATTGGGCTATAGAGTCAGTTCATCTTTGTCTTACCACAGGCTTCCCTGCTGACATCGAATACTACAGCTAATCGTAATACATCTCATTGACTCATACAACCTCACATTACCGTCAATGTATATATCCGCTCTCCTTCTCTCCCTCCGCGCCATGCTCCAGATGGATCTCCCTCACATCAATGTCCTCACAAAAATCGATAACCTTTCGAACTACGCCCCGCTACCCTTCAACCTCGATTTCTATACGGAAGTCCAAGACCTCTCATATCTCCTCCCACACCTAGAGGCCGAGTCCTCACGATTATCGCATGCGAAATTTGGCGCCCTCAACAATGCCATCATCGACCTGGTAGAAGAATTCGGACTCGTGGCATTCGAGACACTGGCCGTTGAGGACAAGAAGAGCATGATGAATCTGCTGCGGGTTATTGATAGGGCAAGTGGGTATGCATTTGGGCCAGCTGAGGGCGCAAATGATACCATCTGGCAGGTGGCTGTCCGGGAAGGACTAGGGACCATGGATATCCGAGACGTCCAGGAACGGTGGCTCGACGCGAAGGACGAATACGACGCGCAAGAGCGCAGTGAGCTCGAGGCCGAGGCGAAAGCCAGGGAACAGGCTGCACAGCCGCTGTCGAGAGAGGAGGATGAACTCGATGCCGATTTGGCCAAGTTCAGAGGCTCAATCCCCGACAGCGGCGTAAAAGTGATACGAAAGTCATGATTTGAGACCTTTATGGTTCTATCCGTACATGTATTATAGGGTATCTCTAATGTACAAACAATCCAACAAACATAAACTCCTGATGATGCAACGAGTGAACACACATCGCCCACGCAATTGGAACCCGGTCAATCCTCATCATCGTCGCTCTCCATATCCACATCGTCCTCATCCATCACATCTCGCACAGAGGCAGCGGCCAACCCACCACCAGCCGCAGCCTCCCGGCCCTCTGAACCCCCAAGCAACCCTTCCAAAACCCCCATCTCATCCGCCCCCTTCAACCGCGAGATCTCCCTGCGCGCCCGCCGAATCGCCTCCTCCTCCACCTTCTTCATCGTCCCAGACACCTTCACAACCCGAAACACACACGAGCGCATCTTCCCCCCAGCCGCAGGAGCACCCCTCTTCACTCCACCGTTATTAAAATCCGGTACTTGCGACATATACGTAAGCGCCGTCCAGACGAGACGGAATGACGCGCGCGGACACCGGATGATAGCCGTCGACGTGGCAGGCGACAAATACTTGACTATTTCACTCATGTCAGAACCCGAACACAAATCAAGGAAACACAACGAAATGAAAACGCACCACTAACACCGCCGGCCCCGACACCACCCAGCCGACCAATGCCCCAGTCCCCAAAAATCTCCGCGACTTCCTCCCTCACCATCTTGGCGAGTAAGGCGGGGGTCAGCGCATCAGATGTAGGCGAGTGGATCCGGAGCTGGGCGTCCGCCTGCGATGGCAATTTCTTTTTGCTGGTTGAGGAGGTGGGCCAGGAGGAGGGTTCTGGGTAGAGAATGTCGAGGAGGAGGTAGCGATGTTTGACGCGGACCATCTTGGTTTGTCTTTATTGATGTTTTTTGGATTTCTAGTTCTTCGAGTATGCGTATTTTCTTTCGTTGTGGTAATTGGAAGAGGGGCCTTATGCTGAGCTCGAGCGTTGGGGGTTGTTGAGATTGAATTCGGTGTCTCAATTCTTGTAACTTGAGGCGATATAGATAAACTTTTGATAGCAGGAGCTCGGACCAATTGCGGGTGGGGAAGTTTAGATTCCGAATACTAAGATACCTAATACTACTGTATCAACTACGGTATCAACATGGTCTGCTGCCTATTTTACAGTGCCTGAATATCGATCACAGGAAGACATATTCTGCAATTACACGATTTTATTATTGTCATTGTGGTCCCCTGCTTCACGCAAGAGACGGTGAAACCATCTCTATGCAATTGCCGAGCAAGGAGCTATCTGTAGAGGTTTGGGCTGCGGCTTTACGAGCCCTTCGGTTTGAAGGCATTATAAAGAAGCAGTCCTTATTTCCAAGGGCGTAGAGGTTCTTTATACCTAGTCATATGTTCTGTCTCAATTCTTGCGTTGAATTCATTAGCCTATCAGCTAGTCATGCCACATATGCGCAATTCACAATGTAATGTCGAAAAATAGTGAAACTCGAGAAGAATCAGAACCAAATGCAAAATACAGGCCATCATAACTCCAACGTCGACGTGACGGATCTTATGAGTCAAACCGCAAATTCCGCAGAATCATCCAGTGGGCTGCCACGGGTCTGTTCGGCAATGACAAGTGAAAAAAGGAAAAGGAGGAAATATTAAAAGATATAATAGAACGCTTAAATGTTAACCTCGACACGACCCTCGGCACCACCCTTCTGCAGGGTGGGGAGCAGGTAGGTGATATCATCCCAAGGGTGTCTGTAGAGACCGGTGCGCAGTCTCTTCTGGTCGAGGTAGTGAGCAATGAGACCAATGCTGCGGCCAAGAACAAAGAGACCGTTGAGAACTCCCATCTTCATGTAGTCCTCGACTTCCTCGGGCGAGAAAGCACCACAGTTGCGCATCAGGTCAACGAAGCAGACAGCAACGCAACCATCGACGTTCAGAATGAGGTTGTCCTTCTTGGAGGTGGTGACGGTCTCGACAGCGATAGCATAGTCGAGCAGCTTGGTGCTAGGGAAGTGCTTCTTGGCGAACTCCTTGACCAACTCGACACGCAGATCAGGGTTGTTCCGGGACTTGACTCTGTGGCCAATACCAGGGACTATGCAAATGTTAGCATTTGTTCGACAGATGTTCGTTATTCATAAAGGTCACTTACTCAGCTTGTTCTCCTTTCTCATGGTGTCAACAAAGTCACGGGGGCTCATGCCCTTGTCGAAGGCCTTGGCAAACTCCTCAGCAGCACCGTCAAGAGCACCACCGAAGCGAGATCCGATAGTCAGGAGACCAGAGACAAGCGCGCTGATCAGATCCTTGCCGGCACGGGTAGTGATAATGGTGTTCATAGCACCAGACACGGCCGGACCGTGGTCAGCAGTGAGCATGAGAACCATCTCCAAGAACTTGCTAGCATAGCGAGGCAAACGGCGACGGAACCACAGAAGGGACATGACACCACCAATGCCGATGTCCTCTCTGAAAACGTCGGAGATGGGCATACCGGCATACAGGAGCTCCTGGCCACGGTCGTCGGTGATAGTGGAAATGAAGGCGGCGGGCTTACGGATGAGACCCAACTCCTGGGCCCAGGAGTAGTCAATGGGGATCTTGGGAACTTGAGGTTCGGGCTGGGGCTTGATGATGCCCTTCTTGACCTGATCCTCGTAAACCTGCTTGAGGACCTGAGGAAGCTCCTCAAATGTGTCAGGAACGTGGATACCGGCCTCCCTCATGGCCTTGTTCTTGTACACAGCGGTCTCAAGCTGGGAGTTAGCCGAGGCACCAGCGTGACCGAACTGAACCTCAGTCTTGAACATGCTGGCGCAGGTACCGATGGCCCAGGCGACGAGAGGCTTAGTAATGGTGCCGTTCTTCACAGCTTCAATGACACGGTACTCCTCAACACCACCGACCTCACCGAGCAAAAGGAGGATCTTGCAATCAGGATCGGCCTGATAACGCAGGAGGTGGTCGATAAAAGTGGTACCGGGGTAGCGGTCACCACCAATGGCGATACCCTCATGGACGCCATCGGTGGTCTGAGAGATGATGTTGTTCAACTCGTTGGACATACCACCAGACTTGGAAACGTAGCCGACGGAACCCTTGCGGTAGAGCTTGGAAGCAACAATGTTGTCCATCATACCACCGGTGTTACCGATCTTGAAAGCACCAGGCTTAATACCACCAACGGTAGCAGGACCAATAATGGTGATACCCTTCTCCTTGGCGGTAACCATAATCTCACGAGCACGCTGTTCCCACCGTTAATTTCTTTTACTCTATGCGGGCAGAATGTAAGCAAGACATACTCTCTCCGGAACACCTTCGGCAATGATGGCGATGGACTTGATTTGGGGGTAGTTCATCAACTCCATGGTGGAGCTGTAGACGGAACGGGAGGAGGCAAAGTTCACAACGGTGTCGACGTCAGGGTGCTTGGCCATGGCCTTGGCCACATCCTGGTAGACAGGAAGGAGAGTCTCGCTGGTACCCCAGTACCTACGATTCCATAGTCAGCAGCTGTTGATGGAAATACTGCAGCAGATGAAGGGGATCTTCATACATCTTGCTAACGAACTGGCCACCAAAAGTGTAGATGATACCAGCAACCGAAGGTGTGCTACGCTTGCAAATGAAGTCGAAGTCGAGCATGCCTTGCACAGCTCTGGGCTGCATACCGCTGTATAACCATCAGCCACGGCCATTGATCCTGTGTGCAGCCAGGAAACACTTACTATACGAAGCATCTCGTCTTGTTGTGGAAGAGAGTGTGAGTGAGAGGAGAGAGCACTCGGCTGGGGGGTTCGAAGCGAGTGATGTTGTCATTGGCATTGAGAGTGCCATTGGCGGTGCCGGCAAGAGGAGCAGAGGAGGGCATGATGGCTGAGTACTCTGTTTCTCAATTGGTCAGCACTGGTCAGGATATGGCAGCGGGTGCAATGCAGGGGAGCTCAGAAAAGCATGGAGATGACGCTTTCGCGCTCGTTCAAGAAAGCCGGGAATTGCGAGACATACCCGTCAACAGAGCTTTTGAGATCGGCTTTGAAGAGGACGAAAGGTATTATTAAGTAGGGAGATACAAGACGAGGAGATAGAAGGAAGGAGTCGCTTCGTCGGTCAAATGCTACTCGGAGGGAACAAGAGCCACGAAGGATGAGAAGATGCACAGGTGAGGAAGAGGAGGATGAGGAGAATGATGAAGCAGAGCCAGAAGGTGGGAGGATTGGGACCCAAGGGGATTATGGGGGGTGGTCTATTCTGAAGATGGAAAAAGGACGGGATCAAGAAAAAAAGGACCGGACTGTTGTAAAAAAAAATAATAACTGATTAAAATAAAATAACTGAATCTGACGAGGGGGTTCAACGATATCGGGGAGCTGAGGGGGAGCTTACTTTTCCGGACGATACCGTATCGGTAGTTCGGTACAATACCGCGACAAAGCTGCTCTCGGTGGTTCCTTGATGGGGTCGAAGGCTGGACCAGTTGGGAACTTGGGAATGCAATTGCGTTTGCTTGCTACCTAGGAATTGAGCCAAAAATAACCGATCAATTTTCAAGAATTGTATCTGCAGATTCTGGATGGGCAAGAAATTCTAGACACCCTCAACAAGACGCAAGGCGAACAATACATAGAAGATACGGTGCATCATAAAGTGCGGAGTGGCTTGACAATATACGTATATGGAGTCGGTTTGATACTTACTACGAGTACCTATCTATCTCAACGCCGAATTTCTTTACGATTTCCTCCGATGAATGAACATGTTAGAAACTCCTTCTCCTTTTCAGTCATGGTCATGCGTGCAATATCCCTCATCTCTCGAGTCAAGCAGATTCGTGTATGCCTAACAAGATGGAGCCGGACTGCGGAGTACTCGGTAGATTCTGTACCTGGATGTCGAACAGGCAAAAGAACGTTGCAGAGTACTCCGTAGTCCGTACCTTAGCTTGGTTGGGGCTAAGCGGTGGATCGTCTTGGACTAATTCGGACCCAGCAAACAGGAGAGCCCCTCCACCCTAAGACTCCCACCGCCGGACGCTAATGATCTGCTCACCGAAAGATCACTGTCGATCTAGGTAGCACATACAGTGATAATAGCTTTCAGAGGGGTTGTCTGCATGTGCCTTGTTGTTAAGTCTACATGGTAAATAGGTAACTGATACGTGTACCATATACTAAGGTATGTACTGCATGTGTGAATGGACTCTATCAACAGTCTGATAGGCAATTGATGGCATGATTGACATCAAGGCAGTCTCGGGGAGTGACTCCGGGTATCGAGCAATTCGCCGACGCTCTATCAACAAACTCGAAACCTGAAATATTCGGTAGCTGTGCATAATCCAACAAAAAAACGACACGCAGCGACATATGACCCGAAAGTTGCCGTCCGGTGTCTGATCCCTCCTTTTGCTGGAATTCGGTATTGAGGCTACAGCGTAGGGTGTGTCCTGCCACTAAATACCATTACCGAGTATCCCCAACGGAAGCTCTAAACCCCCTGGAGAGGGTGGGAGCTAAATTTGATCGGTCCGCGGATGACACCTGGAACTTCTTTTTGGCTGTTAGTGTCCTTTTTAGTGCAAGAGATTAGCAGGACCCACCATGCTTCTTCCCCACTAAATCTCAACAACTCGGGGCGTTTAAGCCTGCTACGCAGCCTATGCTGTATCGTACTCTGTATCTCTGAGTCTGGTCCCTCTCCAAATCTGGTCATTTCCGAGTTCGGCCTCAATACCGTACCTGACTCTCTGTAATTTTGAATCAGCTTCCCCCCCCCCCCCCCCCCCCCAAAAAAAAATAGCCTGTGTTTGTCCCCTCCCAAAGTCCTTCCGGGCGTTTACTTGACTGTTCAATTATTTTATTTCGGAGGACTCAGGTCAATCGTCCGCGGTCACTGAATCCCCTCCTCTTTCTCCTCTCTTCTTCAATCCATCCATCCACCTTCCTCTTCTCCCTCCTTCTCTCCCACTTCAATTCCAACAAATCACTTCTTGCAGGGCGAGTTGCTTGCCGACCTATCCCTCCTCCCTCTCCATCTCTCTGTTATATCGTTCTCTTGATCCGGGCTCTCTTCCCCTTCTCTACATACAACCTCTCCTCAGTCGTCAGGACCTTCTTTATTTGTCCTCCTCTCTGATCCTCCATTTCTATCGTCATGTCCGCCAAGTCGATTCTCGAAGCTGATGGCAAGGCCATCCTCAACTATCACCTCACCCGGGCTCCTGTCATCAAGCCGACTCCTCTCCCTCCTTCCTCCACCCACAACCCTCCTCCCAGACTTGCCTCCATCTACTTCCCTGAAGACGCCGCCGTGAAGGATGTCTTGGACCAGACGGAGGTTGTCTACCCTTGGCTGCTGACGCCCGGCGCCAAGTTCGTCGCTAAGCCAGATCAATTGATTAAGAGACGGGGTAAGAGCGGTTTGCTCGCTCTGAACAAGACCTGGCCCGAGGCCAGAGAGTGGATTGAGGCTCGTGCTGGCAAGGAGGTCAAGGTTGAGACCGTCACCGGTGTTCTTCGCCAGTTCCTGGTTGAGCCTTTCGTTCCCCACCCTCAGGAGACTGAGTACTACATCAACATCAACTCCGTGCGAGAGGTAAGCGGCTTTGCCGATTCTCAAAGTGCGACGATCTCGAAGACTAATGAACCTTCCTAGGGTGACTGGATCCTCTTCACACACGAGGGTGGTGTGGACGTTGGCGATGTCGATGCCAAGGCCGAGAAGCTTCTTATCCCCGTAAACCTGAACAACTACCCCTCCAACGAGGAGATTGCTGCTGCTCTCTTGAGCAAGGTGCCCAAGGGCGTTCACAATGTCCTGGTCGACTTCATCTCCCGTCTCTACGCCGTCTATGTTGACTGCCAGTTCACCTACCTTGAGATCAACCCTCTGGTTGTCATTCCCAACGCTGAGGGTACCTCCGCGGAGGTGCACTTCCTTGACCTTGCCGCTAAGCTTGACCAGACTGCTGAGTTTGAGTGCGGTACCAAGTGGGCTATTGCCCGCAGCCCTGTCAACCTTGGCTTGGCCACTGTTCCCCAGGCTGATGGCAAGGTCAACATTGATGCTGGCCCGCCAATGGAGTTCCCCGCTCCCTTCGGTCGTGAGTTGAGCAAGGAGGAGAAGTTCATTTCCGACATGGATGCCAAGACCGGTGCTTCTCTCAAGCTGACTGTGCTCAATGCCAATGGCCGTATCTGGACTCTGGTCGCTGGTGGTGGTGCCTCCGTTGTCTACGCCGATGCCATTGCCTCCGCTGGTTTCGTCAGCGAGCTCGCCAACTACGGTGAGTATTCCGGTGCTCCCACCGAGACTCAGACCTACAACTACGCCAAGACCGTTCTGGACCTGATGCTGCGCGCACCTATGCACCCTGACGGCAAGGTTCTCTTTATCGGTGGTGGTATTGCCAACTTCACCAACGTCGCCTCGACGTTCAAGGGTGTTATTCGTGCGATCCGCGAGGTCGCTCCTGTTCTCAACGAGCACAATGTCCAAATCTGGGTTCGTCGTGCTGGTCCCAACTACCAGGAGGGTCTCAAGAACATCAAGGCCGTTGGTGAGGAGCTGGGTCTTAAGATGCACGTGTACGGTCCTGATATGCACGTCAGTGGTATCGTCCCTCTTGCTCTGCTGGGCAAGGAGACCGATATCAAGGAGTTCGGTTCTGCTTAAAAATAGGAAAGAAATTTGCTTTGCTTTAATCATTTAATTTCTCCGGCTTTTTTTGTTCTTACTTACACTTTGTTTTCCTTTTTCTGTTCTGGACGCATGGCATGATACGGAACTTTTTTCCTTACTTATCTAGCGAGGACTGGACATACACAAGCAGTACGACACATGACACTGCACTGACAGGTTGAAGGAGAGAAGGGGATATCCATTTGTGCTGGAGTCAGCTGTTTCTCTTAGACTATATTCTTGGTTGATTGCGAGGCATGGGTCTGCGCAGTGATAGTCGAATTAATCCAATGATAACGATCGTCAATGATATATTTGCTGTAAATGAGGTTATTCTGATCCAAGAAGATAGTAGTGGTAAGTAAACAGCTCTTGTCACCCACAAGTACATAGGACTGGATATGAGATCATCACGTGATTCCATCACCATACAAGCAAACAGTAACAGTACCAACAGTTACACTTTACAAGTCCAAACACAAGACAGGGGGACAAGATAAGCTTAAACTGACGCATCAAATCTGGAAACTAAATTAGAGTCATTCTCCACAGGAGCTCCCCCTGCCCTGAAATTTAGATTGGGGGACGCTGTGGCCAGGGTCGTGTGGGAATGGGGAAATCCGTTTCCATCTGGACGAGCTCAGCTTCCCGCTTCCGCACGCCCGAGGTGGAGGAGTCCCTGTGACGTCTGGGTCGGCCTTGTCGGACTGGCTACGGGACGGGCCTTTGCAGGGAAGATCTAGCGGTGATGGGATGAGATCCAAGGATCTTATGGTTTACTGTTTTGCAATGGAGGTTCTGTGGTGTTCGGCTCTGGTATCCATGGTGTGGAGGGTTCAAGATATAGACTTGTAAGCTTGTTTACTATCACAACTCAGGTTGGCATAGACTTTTGTCATAGGCTAATGATGCTCACGGCTTCGAGCAGTAGGAGTATTGTTTTGATCTACTGGTCTGCGTATATGAAGCCTTGATGAACTCCAGGACGAATCTACAAGGGTCCTGAGCAAGGGTTGGAACGAAATGGTGGTTGTTGCAGAGCGGGAACTATCCATAGCCAAAGTTCGTTCGGGCGAAAGGAAGATAACCCCGTGAACGTCCTAGCGTGGATTCCGACGAAAAGATTTAGCTAACATTAACAAGCAATCCCAGTAGCTCAGGCTGAGATCCTAAGCTGAAAGCTCGATTCTTATGGGTCATCGATTGTTTTGATGCTTTTGATGCCTGTCTGAAACATGCCCTGAAGTCAGGGTTCTATCCGGAAAGCTAGAGATATATATTATCGAGTGAATAGAGGTACCGTTCTTGGCATGAAACATACACAACAAAAGCCCAATATTCCTGAGTTCAGTATGAATCGTGGCTGGTGGTGCCGAAAACAAAGCACAATTTATATGCGAGGAATATCTATATACTCGGGTTTTGAGCTTCCTTAGTCAATATCTATCTGCCAAAAGCAGCATCAGCACATGACAAATTTATACTTCTGTCTCGCTATGTATATATGATCAGCGCGCCGGAAGAGCGAATTACCCGTTAAACGAAGAAATACACTGATTGATATGCAAATAGGCGAACTCGAGATATTAAAGCAGGTTATATAATGGTGTTCTGAAATAACGAAGACCTCAAAACAGAAGAGCCGTTTCCCGCTCCATTTGCCGTCCCAGGGCCGGGCCTCTGGAAACCCAGACTATCTCGACTGAGCGAGGCGTTGCCACTGTTCAAGTACTGACCTGGCATATTGTTGTCATGAAATCGCTCGAACATGGCGCTGTCCTGCGGTAAGCTTGACATGCCAGTCGACGGACGCATAGGGCCTGGGAGACGAGTTCGTTGTTGTGGAGTTGCATTGGGGATACTTCCTTTGAACCTATCAGCATATCTTGATCACTGCGAATAGATAAAGAGGGGCATACGGTTTCTCAAGTTCACTGGCACAGTGGGTGGTGGCATCACTGCGGCATCAACCTTTTGCTTTGCGCCTTTTGAGCTCCCAGTTCCGCTTCGCTGATGCCGGTGTAGCTGTTCCACCCCTTCCAGGTTGACAGGATGCGGATTGCCTTGACGCGACGTCGGAGTTTGTGGCGGCCGCGAGACACCCATTGGTCTGCTCATACCTGATACTGAGGGCTCGTTTCCCGAGTTGCCGAGTGAATTCAAAGTCCGCGAGACAGTGTCCGATGCAGCGGTCTTCATTTGCGACCTCATAGCCCGGGACTTGAGCAGGTTGTACAGATTGGTGATCTGAGCGAACTTCTTGCACTTTTCTCGGTATAGATCGACAAGCTCCTGGTTCTTTTTGCGAAGCTGCTCTTCTGTTGCTTGCATGTCTATATTTCGGGTCAAATGATCCTGTCCTTCCTCGAGGATCTGCTGGAGATGACGAACCGTTCAATTTAGCCTGAAGAGCCGATATCTCCGTATTTGCATTATGAATCACCCTGTCCATGTGTGTATTCAGCGTGGAGTATTTCTCCGTAAGTGACTTCCCAAGATACTCTTGGTAGAATCTGTCTCCTGTGAGGAAATCGACGCAGAAGTCTATGGAAAAGCTCAGCAATACGCACATCTCCTGCGTGGTCTGATAAGCCCAGAATACTAATGCTCGACTAGCGCATTCCATAATCGTGTTCGGATCTAGTCCACTCAGTACACTGGTTTTATAGTCTTCAGAGGGATTGAGAACTGTCGATGCGGCGTCGTCTGGATTCACGAGGACGGTTTGGCAAGCTGGACAGCGACGTTCGCCATGGGTGGGACGTGAGAGACCGAGAGTATCTGCGCAGGGAAGACAAAATATGTGCCTAAGCAGTTTAGTATCCATTGTCTTCACTAATCAAAACCGACTGAAGAAAGGGTAGGAGAACGGACGACTTACGAACAGGTGGTGACGACTGCTTGCTCCTTCAACTGGGAGCGACATTTTAGAGCATTGCATCGAAGGTAGAAGTCCATGACTGAAGTGACGGTTGTGTTCAGTACTCTCGAAGTGTCGAAGCTTGTAGTTGGTGGTTGAAAGGGTTCAAGGAGCTTGAATACATGTAGGTCAAAAGTTCAGAATACTTGGACCATCTGCAGATTGATAGTCGACGACAAAGATACTCGCAGCAATACCTATCAATATTCACTTAGGCGAACGTGCTTTAGTAATATCATAAACCAGGTTGGCTGTTTGGGTATCTAAAGAATATACATATGTTTTCCTCTCACTGTTTCATAGCTCTCTCAACACAACGGCTCCCATTCTTCTATATAGTCAAGAACCGCCAGCTCAGAAGAAAAAGGTGTTTCCTTCAGCATCTCGCCGTGTTGAGCGCATTTTCTCTTCAAACTCGGGCCCCGGCTCGTACTCCCGCCACAAGCTCGCTGGAAAGATGTGCTTGTTTCGTTCATACCACCGTCTGTCGACCACTTTCGTTAGCGTCGCATCTTTATCGGCTCCTTCTAATTGGTCATTATCAGGCCGTGACGGCGGATTATCACTAGAAGCCGTTGGAGGAGGCTTGTTGGAGTAGTCGAACAATAGCCCACCAGCACTTGAGAAGCTGGGTACTTGATTGGCTATAAAATAGTAGAATTCATAGTGCTAGAGGGTCAATCAGCACATGACAACGAGCAAAAGCGGGCGCCACTTACATGTGGAACGATTATTTCTCCTCTGACCAGCATAAGGTCATCGACACTAATTCTGGCCCATTCCCGGCGATTGTCTTTCCTTCCCTTTGTTGCTCCGCTAGCACCTGCGACGCCTAACTCGGCACCGACTTTGCGACAACGGTCAAGAAACAACCATACCGGGTCGCCTTTCCTAACCTTTACCGCCCCAGCCGGTATATTGGTGCCATCGTAGAAGATGAACGGAATGAGTATTTCGGTATTTTTGACCGCATCCTGCATAGCCAGAAATTCTCTGCGAAGGGCATCACGCGCCTCTGCTTCTGCCTTTAGTGCAGCCTTCGTCAGCGCTTTCGGAGGAGGAGGTGCGTTGGGGTTGGGTGTGATGCGCCGTGATGACGGCGCAGAACTGTCGTCCGCAGGTGTCCTCGACGCAGATCGGGGGACGCTCGTTTCACAGGGAGTGGCCACAGGTTCGTCACCGGTATCATTCTCTTCATCGTCACCAAAAGAAAGTTTGCTTTTCATGAGTTGCTTCTTTTTCTTCTTCTTCGGAGGGCCCTCGCTACGCGGGGTCGAGCTACTAGGTAATTGCGATCAGTTAGGGAAGAGAAAGGAAGAAGCTTGCGCCTTAACTCACCTGTCAGTCACATCGCCTGTTGAAGGAGTAGCACTTCTTGAGTTACCGGATGTAAATCTTCCCAGCGACTTGTCGTGTGCCTCTCGTTCCTTTTGCTCTAGAACCTCTGCGCGACGCTTGCGAAAGTCGGAGAGATGGACTAGACCGACGGTCTGCGACTTGAGAAGATCTTCTGCGGAGGTAGTCTGGCTCGTAAAGCGCGGTGTCGAGTTGCTGCTCTGTTGTTCGGAAGGAGGCATGATGTATGTAGTATCGGTGACTGTGGCACTCAGGGTCGTTTCAAAGATTCAAGAACTCATCTATCCCGATGTTGTATAGAGATATTGTGATCATGAAGCAACTGACGGAGACAGAGAGCACGTGACCACGGTACATCAAGATCGCATATAGTAGATCGAATTTCGGTCAAAGACGTAAGAATTCAATGTCTTCAAAAACATATATGATTGAATTGTCATTATCAAAATGCACCTTGAAGTATCAATGACTGAGTAGAGAGGTAGTTGGTGTCATATAGAACTGATCTGGACACTGAAGAGCAAACATGCCAAACCCGGCCTGCCGTTTGATCTCCGCTGTAAACTGGCCGAGACTTTCGTCATTCTACACTTCTCTTAATCACGAATTTGTCTGTTTCTGTTCAAGATGATGATGGAAGAAGATGATGACGATTTCTACGACCCTGCTGATGCAATACCCGTAAACCAAGCTCAGAATGCTCCGCAAAACCAATCGAACGAAAAGTCTCAAGAATTGAACGAAGGGGAGGAGCAGGAGGAGGAGGAAATAGAGGTGGAAGAGGATGAGGTTTGCTCATAACACGCGGTTCAATCTCTCGCATCGACTAATTTTGTTCTCAGGATGACTTCAATATCATCACAGAAGCTCCTCCAGATGCGCCGCCTCCGGAAGTGTAAGCGGTGGATTCCTCCACTAACTCAGCTGAAGAGCATTTGATCTAACGTCGATACAGACCACATCCTCGTCATGCCAACCTACGAGCAGAGCCCCAAAGACCTTCATCAGCGGATATATCGACAAAATCAGTCACACCTACAGTAACGCCTAAACTCGAAGCTGTAACTCCGGCGCCTGCCAGCGCAAGACCAACCGCACCTCAGAAGCCTGGCTCCGCATACCCGCCCGTGCACGCGTCGACGATCGATGTCAATGCGAACCCTGTTCACCCCTCTACGGGCAAGCCGATCCTGTCAACAGATATGGACTCGGACTTTCCAACCGAGGACGATAAACCATGGAGACGACCTGGTTCGGATATCTCCGACTATTTCAACTACGGATTTGACGAATTCACCTGGGCAAGCTACGTTCTGAAACAACAAGAGCTACGGAAAGAAGTCCAAGACCAGAAGAAGCAATTGGATGATATGCAGAATTTCTTGACCATGGGTCTTCCGCCAATGCCAGGAGCTCCGGGTCCTGCTGCGCCTCCTGGCAGCGCGCCGCCAGCTATGCCCGGTATCCCAGGAATGCCAGATATGTCCCCTGATATGATGCAGGGTATGCTGGCAAGTATGATGTCGCAAGGCATGGATCCGTCATCTATGGACCCCATGTCCTTCATGCAACATGCACAGGCGATGATGGGAGGCCAAGGTGGTGCTGGCGCCGGGCAGCAGCAAGGCCAGCCTGGGTTCGGCGGCCAGTCGCAAGGATCGGGATTTGGAGGACAAGGTGGTGGCCAGCCTCATATGGGATTTGGAGGTTACGATCAGAGGGGTGGTTTTGGCGGCCGAGGACGAGGAAGAAGATGGTAGAGCTAAGAATTTATGTCTTCTATTACCATGTTGTAATGTTCGATTTGCTGGGTCAGTAGCACTCGAAATAATGGGTCGGATCTGGCGGTGTTCACTTGTATACAGTCAGTGTTAACCATACCACTGAGCATGATCTTTAAGACCATGAGCTTAAGCTATCCGCAGCTAAAAATTCGGGGAAAAGGAGCTGTCGCAGGCGACTGAGCTGCAGACTGGCGTTGAGACATCCATTGTAAACTCAACATTGCAATTCCAGACTGGATCAATCAGCCCACTTTCTCAAAGCAGAAAAAATAAGTCCATTTCATTGTGTATCGTGCAGAAGAGGAAAACGTAAAAGCATTCGACTTGATACCCTCGGCAGTGTTGATGGAAGCTCTCCGGTCTTGGCATTCTGGAAATTTCTCGCGGCCCGGAGAGTCCAGATCTTCTTCCCCCAGACGAGCTGTCCGAACATCTTCTTTTCTTTCGTACTCTCCACGCCTCGCACTTGTTACATTTCTTCATCCCTGCTCAATTAAACTCAGTCTACGAGTCTCGCACTCTTCTCCTACCGCCTCCATACAAAATGGTACGTATTTCCACCTTGCCCGGGACCTCAGGACTACCTTCGTCATGACAATTGCTGCTATCAACTATGCCGTGATCTTGTTTGCCTGACTCATTGATTGGTACATGTCGCTAACTTGGATCTCTTCTCTGATCAGTCTGTCCTCCGCAACATCAAGAACCTCGCTCCCCTCCTGGACCGTGTCCTCGTCCAGCGCATCAAGCCCGAGCCCAAGACTGCCTCCGGTATCTTCCTCCCCGAGAGCAGCGTCAAGGAGCAGAACGAGGCCAAGGTCCTTGCCGTTGGCCCCGGTGCCGTTGACCGCAACGGCCAGAGACTCCCCATGAGCGTTGCCGCTGGTGACAAGGTTCTCATTCCTCAGGTACGTACTGGTCGTTCTGGATGTTTTGTCTCCGCACGGATCCGATGCGCAACAGACATTGGGATTCTCTTTCAATGAAGTGGCTGACAGATCTTGCGATACAGTTCGGTGGTAGCCCCGTCAAGGTCGGCGAAGAGGAGTACCACCTCTTCCGGGATTCTGAGTACGTTCCCTTGCAGCATAACGATGTCCGCTCCTCGATGACATTGTACTGACCTCTGCGGTAGGATCCTCGCCAAGATCAACGAATAAAGGAACGACTCCCCTTTCATTATGTCTTTCTCCCCCTCTCGATCTCGAGCTGAGAACGCCCAAGTCGGAGGCCGTGTATTATATACCGTGCAAATTCATGAGCTCCCACAATACCTCGAAAACATTGTAATTCCAAATCTCTCGCCATCAAGGTCTAAAATATGACACAGCCAAATGCTGTCTCTCTTTGGGCTGATTTTGTCTGCGCATTTGTTGTTATACAGCGTGAAACGACCTTGTCTTCTCCAGCATACTACTATGGATGTATTTCTAAATCTAGCAATCGTCATGAATCACGCCGATTCCGGGGTGATGAAAAACGAGTAATATCAGACATGATAAATCTCCTCTCAAGCCGGTATCTAGTATGTTGACTCCAGGTTCCTTCTATGGATTATCCACAAAGGTTGGGGCTTGTTCTCTGCCTCAGCATACCGGCTTATCTTAGGGCCAGCTTAGCTACAGAGGTGAACTCATAGTTCCGTATCAGCGTCAAAGTTAAGGGCCCAGTCACATTGCCAGTCTTTGTCGAGGATATGGTTGATTCGCCCCATCATCCTGTCACCTATGAGCTCACCGAAGACCTCCTTTCTTCGATCTGGCTCCATCTCGATAAACCTAGCAAGGCCTTGTGTACCTCCCTCCTCCACAGAGCTAGAACTGGCAGCCGTAGGGGATTTGTAGCGTATATAAGTCCGCTCTTCTTCGTCTTCTCGGCTGAGGAACGCCAAAATCACTTGCGCAGCATACGGGTTCAACCCGGCCTGGCGGAGGAACATCTCCCGGACGGTTGTTCTCATCATCATTTCCGGCCTCAATCGGTTTTTCTGAGCCGAGTTGATCGGTGTGAAGCTTGTACCGGACGGAATCCGCGTAGGATTCTCTGGAAGTCGAGCAATGTGCTTGTTCGCAAGCGAAAGGACCCATCCTGCCACGGTTTCTGGGCGGGAAGGCACTAGCAATGGGCTGATTGTTGCATAGGCGGACATCGAGCTGCAAAAAGCAGTCAACGAGGCGATGGATGTTAGCACTCGCTTGTCTGCTATTGGGCCCGATTGTTTGACTAGCAGCTTCTTGGAAGAAGGTGCACTGTGGCATATGAACAGATAGATTCGTTCATATCGAGGTGCGAGAAGGAAGATGCGTTCTCGGAGCGGCGAGTTGATGCATTCGATGTTCGTTTCAGGATGAGTGGACTTATGGCCGGGCAGATATAGTTGCGTTGTCGCTTGCGATGTTGTCAGTATTATACCAGTACTTGGCGAGATTATGATATCTGCTTCGATTTGCAAAGTGAGGTTGCTGTTGATGCGAGAGGTTGTATGCTTGCCCCGTGGCTCACTACCCAGATTATCGTGATTATAGTCTCTATATACGATTACTGGCTGGCCTGCCATTTCTTCAAGACAGCGTACGAGCCGAAGATGACTCTTCAGAAGGGCGGTTGATAAGAACAGTATTGGCCGTTCTCCCGTCTCCTGCTGAAACCGAGGAAGTGGCGTGGCTGGATGGATGGTGTCCCAGCCGTTCTCGCTTTTGTCCGGCTCCTTTGAACAGCTTCGAGGCTTCTCGGTGCTCACTGCATCAATTTGTCGCTTGGAAACGTCGTCGATTGACCCTTTTCCTGGGAAGTATGGGCTTTGTGTCACCCTATGCCGTTTCTCTATTCGACCTCTTGTCTCCATGAACGCGGCCAAAGAACCCAGGGTTGTAGATGACGGTACAGCCGGCTGCTTCTGGTGCTCTCGCTTCTCAGACGGTGAGGCTTTGCCGAAACTCTCGTTGGTAAGCTGGCGTTTCCTTTTCCTCTGCTGTAGAGGCTGATTGGGGACAGTGGCAGAAGTATTGGTCTGAAGCCGAGTCTGATTCGTTGTAATCAAATCAATATCGCCGACCATAGAAGCGCGTATATTGCTCTGCTGGACCCTACTGGGGGATTGCCCTTGATTTGTGATAAGCTGGGAATCAAGGACTGGTGGTGTTAGAACATTCTGACCAGCTGATACACTACCTGCTTCAGCAGTTAAGTTGCTGAGTGAACTTTTGTTGGCCTGTCCTTCACTACTGAAGGTATGGAACTCTTCAGCTGAACTATGGGGGTCTGACTTTTCTGAGTCATTATTAAAATATTGAAGGGATGTTCCATATGCTGCATTATTTATAAGCGAAGAATAGCAGGCTGGCGACAGGGAGATTGCTGGAGGTCGCGACGGTAGAAATACTGCTGTATTCTCTTCGACCGGAGCGTCAGTCGCCAGCCATCTAGCTTCTTTCTCCGCCACCCCAGGATCTGCTAATTGGGCCGAATTTGAAGCTGGCTCTTGATTCTGGGAGGGGTTATCGTGGTTGGCAAGGTCCGGTATGTTTATGTCCACCTGGAGTTGTATATCTTGAGGATTTCCTTCGCCTCTGGGCTTTTCGGCTGCAAACGTGATAAATTCGCAAGGCTCCTCGAGGCCTACAGTCGTTGCATTTTCCCAGGTTTGCCGTCCTTCAGCTGCAGATAGGTGGTAATGTATCTGCGTCATGCCATCAGCACCTCCTGTGGAAGTCCGCTGTACGCAATCGAAGACCTCAGGGATGTGGCTGAGATCAGTATCTTTCGACGGATGGTTTTGTGGCTTTGATGCTTCTAGGATCTCAGTCGAGGCAGGGCTGGGCAGCATCTGAAGCTCTGGCTCAGGCGAGGGACTTTTGAAGGATAAATCGTCCACGTCCAAAAGGTCAAGAGGTGGAGATTCTGAGCGGATAGAGATTATCTGTAAGAGATGAGAATTAAATTAGTGTGCTGCTGCTCACGCTCTTCAAGACACTCACTGGTCGGATGGCATTTGCTAGTATATCATCCAGATGATTCGAAGGCACATGCCCAAGCTTCATTGCATCTTGTATGAGCATAAAAGTCTTCTTGCTGCAGTTGAGCTTCTCATTACTGATCTCTTTACTAATCTCATTGGCCTTCTCCACGAAACACTCAAACTGATACTCGGGAGCCTCCTTGAGAGAAGGCAGGTCCAATTCTTCGGGATCGTAGAGTACCGGCTTTAGAGGAAGTGCCGAGTGCGTCTCGTAATCTAGACTGAAGATGGGAGGTTCCAGCTTGAGCTTGTTGAGACGGTGAAAGGCCGCCAAATCATCTTCCAGATTGAGTTCCAATTCGTGGGATCTCACATCACGAAGGACTGCTGAGAGAAACCGAATATCCTCTTTTCTCACATTGAGTTTCTCTTCGCAGATGGCTTTCTCGACAGATTCTTGTGTCGTGAGGAGGTATTTATCCAGCGATTTCAGCTTGTCTTCGGGCACGGACGGGTCATCGGGTGGCAGTTGGAGGGAGCGATCAAGCTGCTGGCTGGGATTGATTGCGGTATACTCACGAGCAATTCCGTAAAATCTGGCATATTCGAGCAGAGATGGTTCGTGTTTGGCTGACATCGAGAATGATTCAGCGGAATGGGTTGTGGATGACGAGACTAACAGTCTTCTATTGGGATAGGCGTTGTGATTTTTTAGCTCAGACACGTGTGTAAACCGATATCCTGTCTATTCGCACTTTACAAGTGATAGAGCTGAGCATGAATGAAGTATCTCTAGCATTATAATAGAATATATACTAATATATATCATTCAATTCTGTAGTATCATGACAATACCATCAATAGTTTCGTACATGAGAAGGAGCATATATCCATTTGATCAAACTCTTTAAAGACATAATTCGGAAGCAAGTATTATTTCGTATCAATCATCAAGCGTTCATTACGTTTGCTCACTCTCATCGAGCGTATGTGCAATAGATTCTCTCGACCCAGAGCCGTCAAGGATAAGGAGAAGGGACTGGCCCCAAAGATCAATCGTTGTAGTTAGATTGACGCGAGCCATCCTTGTTCACGGGTGGTAGGTTATAGTAAGCATTATACTCCTCCTCCTGGGATTTGCCTTCGGGATCGAAGTAGGGGCGTTCAGCGTGGCAGGCGACTCGGACAGCATGACGACGATGGGGAGAAAAGCCATAAGAAGCGGAGTGATTCTAGCAGAAAAGTCAGAAGGGCTCATGATGGAGAATATATCTGCGCGTCACTCACCGTTGTTCGATTGTCCCACAGAGCCACATCGTTCTCACCCCATTGGAAACGAGCGTGCGCCTCTTGCGTGGTGGCAACGACCTCGGTGAGGTACCTTATGATGGCGTCACTCTCCGTTTTGGGGATTCCCACAATCTTGGTTACGAAGCCAGGATTGAAGAAGAGACTGTTCCAGCCAGTGACTGGATTTGTGCGAATCAAAGGGTGCTCTGTGGTGATCGGCTCTCGACGAACAGTTCGACCAAGAGCCCGTGAGTCTGATGCCTGCATGTTGGCTGTATGGAGCGCAGTTAAGCCCTTCAGGTAGTTCTGCATGTGCGATGAGAGAGCGTCGTATGCCGCATATTGAGACGACCAGAGTGTGTCACCACCGCCGCCTCGAGGAGGACCCGTCAAGACCTTCAATGATGTGTACGATGGTGGTTGAACCTCGTACGTTACGTCGGAATGCCATAGGAAGCTAGGGGAAAACAGTGCTCGCTGGTCAGAGGAGTTGTCCCCAGTATAGACAACATGCACGTCTTCCAACCCCTTCTTCCTTGGTACAGCAGTAGTGGCATGCTACATCACGGTTAGACATCTGTCACGACCTCACGGCGATCTGAGGGAGTCAAGACTCACTTTATGCAGCGCCCCGAAATATTTCCCCAACTCCCGTTGAGCTTCAATATCAAAATCCTTCTGATTGCGGAAGAATACCACGCCACGGACGGCGATCAGACGGGCAAGGTCATCCCGCTGGGCATCATTGAGTTTGGCCAGGTTGACCCCATGTATTTCTGTTCCAATTCTCGGTGTGTAGTCAAAGACGTCAGTTGCGTCCTGGAGCAGGTGGCGGAATTTTGGATCTCCGCGAAGCCCTTTATCTTCGTATGGAACCTCCCCTATAGCTTCCCACCGAACATCAGGAAACGAGGGCAGAAGATCCTCGTAAGGGTAATCGTCATGTCTCTTGACTGTTGTGCGCCCTGGCTCGTACCAGAATTTGTTGTGCTCTGCAGACTCTTTCTTGGGAACAGTAAAGTGACCAAGGTAAGGAGCAGCCGCTGGTTCCTCCAGCAATGGTGCCATAGTGTACTCTTCAGTTTATCTTGTGCTTGTGGTATATCGTAGGCTCGTAGCAATTAGGGCCAGAAGGCGGCTGGTATATGATAGATTAAGTACTGGAGAAGAAGGATCAAGGGGAGAACAAAGACTTGATAGACCAAGATCTTGAGTATTGCCGTCTTCCAGCTGTATTTACATATAGCAGCACCCAGGGAGGTACCCCGAAGGATTGCGTGCCAGTATTACGCAGCATTCATGAGTCGGGTTTGGCGAAAATGGCGCCATCTCTGGGGACAATCACCCAACTACAATCCCCAGAAACGAGACTGTTTGCCAAAAAGTGGATTTGATCAAGTCGCATCGCCATCAATGATCAGACATCACGTCACATCATTTAATTGAGGCTCGATGGCGCGAAGAAGCCGTCAGATCTGACTCATTCGGTGATCACTATGTCGCCTGCCACCCTTCCGAGCGTCTCCCAGTGATCCAGCAGTTGCTATTCTTGTATCTGTACGGAGAACATCTGAACCATCATATCTATGGCCCGTGAAGAATATAAAAGAATAGGCAAGTACACGGCAAACAACCCGCTTCGAATGTATGACAAGTACGCAGTTGAAACAAAGTTGGAGCCGGCGTCCGGGAGTGGCTGTAAGCTGCATCTCTGGCGTGCGATCACGCAACTCCGCCATTCTCTTGCGTTTGTGCGAGAGGCAATCCGGACCATCCATGGGTACCTTACCTTATATCCATGGCCACCACCGGGGATTGGCTGGCTGGCCTCGTATTTGTGTTTTGATGCTCGGCACAGCGGAAGTTCTGATTGACTCCGACGATGATCTCTCTCTACTCTGTACGTCCTGTGCTAAGTCGTAAAAAGCACCATAGAAGAAGGAAGATATTGTTGACCAGGCAAACAAGCACATAGTAAATATCAATGCGTGATCGAAAAGAGAACAATTCTGTCATCACTCATTTGCAACGCCTGGCCCTAATACTCATGCTGAAATACGACGACTTCTCTAAATAGCGATAGAATCCTAGGTGATCGAGTTGTACGGCGCCAAAATCAGTCCTGAAATGACCTAAGATGCTTGCCGCCACTATAAGGCGCGTCTCACCGTATTATGCATGCCGCTCGAGGTTTATCATTAATTAAGCCTACCATCTCCCGACGGCGGACCCAGTACCACTTCCTGCACCTGTTCCGTGACCGCACCGAGCCTACTAGCAACGCCAAGTATACCATTCTCCACATCTCCAAGCACCGCTGCAAGATCATTGAGCTTCGATTTCTGGGTTCCAGCGGCCGCTCCATCTCGACTTCGTGAAGCCACAAATTCTTGAATCTGGCGGTTCAGTGAAAGCTCGATACCATGAAGATGGTCTTCAATCTCCTTCAAATTGCGGGTATATCGTTCGAGAACCGTACCCATCTCGTCAGAGCGCTGAGAGAAATAGTCGACAAGGTTTACTGGCACACCATTGATGGAAGTGGCAGACGAGGGGTCAGTCTCGACGTCGTCCGGAAGAGCGAGAGTATTCTTGCGCGTGGATCGCAACGCCTGGCGGTCGGACCCCTTTTGATCCTGGGCTGACCACCACCCCGCGCCTCCCGCAGATTGATATTGCAGGGGTAATTTTAAGGTATCGATGGCACGGAACGCCACTTGTGCCTCGGCTGCATCGCGAGACACTAGGCTGCGCAGTTGATCAATATCGCGAGCGTCGTTCTCCAGCGCGTGCTCAATGGTTTCCAGTTTGCCTTGAACGAAATCCACATCATTTGGAATCGTCTCGGCCTGGCCCGCGATTGTAGGAAGCATGTTGGAGACCTCGTTACACAGCTTGATTTGAAGGAGGACGTAGTTGTCGAATTTCTCCAACTCCGATCTGATTTCATCGGCGCAACTCTCGTACTTTGTCGTCGGTAAGAGGTTACTGAGATCTACCTTGACCCCGGGAACCACTGTTCCGCTTGTGGCTGTTTGTTGTGTCGACAGTTGGGGCGCGGCATTTTGATTCCCAAAGAGAGATAGTGTGGGCTTCTGTGCTTGTTGCTGTTGTTGTGTGTTGGTCTGGTTGCCGCCACCACTTGAATTTCTCACTGATTAGTTGATGAAACGAAAGAAGGCTCAACGCGGATCACTCACAAGAGGCCACCCCCAGTTGTTGCAGAAGCCCCCAGACCGCCAAATAGTGGTTTTGACTGAGCCTGCGTCGTGGACCCAAACAACCCTCCACCAGTACCTCCACCTTGGGCCGTCGTAGTGCCCGCGCCTGCAGTCCCCGGAAAGAGCCCACCAGTTGCAGGTTGCGAGCTGGCCTGTGTAGAGCCTCCAAACAGGCCGCCCCCAGCAGCAGTGGTATTAGTATTCTGCTGTTGTCCACCTAAGCCGGAGAACAGACTTGACCCAGTAGTTGAGGATTGCTGTGTGTTTCCACCACCAAGGTTTCCAAAAAGTCCACCCGCTGGCTTTGACTGCGCATTGGCGCCTCCAAACAAACCCCCCGACGTGTTCGTTGTCCCTGGTGTACCTGTAGACGATGTAGTCTGCGCATTGGATCCGCCACTACGCGAGGTAAATAGTCGTTAGCCTAACCGAATCGCGCGATTCATGAATTTGTAGCTCATCTCTTAGAGTTGAAGCTTCAGATCGAGCTCTGAACACAGGCGCACTTACAAAAGTGAATTGGCGGAATTGGTGTTTATAGACAGGCCGGTTGAAGGTTTTGCGGAAAACATGATAAAGGGAGCGTCTTCTCAGACCAGGGAGTAAAGGATGGAATTAGATAAAATCAACCCGTACCTCCCCTACTGCTCTTTGTTCTCAGCTGTATGGATGTCGACGTAGCGTAGAGACAGGAGGCGCAAAAAATGTTTGGGCAGATAACTGCAGTGCAGCGCTATTGCAGATATCAGCATTACCAAGGTAAGGAAGCTAAGGTACACCCTAACTTCCGGAGTGGAATAGTGGGAAATTGATCTTGATCTTAATGGGGAAAGAAACACCGGGGCCGACGTTCTAACTTCTGCCGCCGCTGTAAGCCCGTGTACCTCTTCTAGGGTAGATAGGGAATTGGACCCGGCGTCTGCAGAACATATAAATCGCATACAGGAATCCTCACTAATCGGCCTCAATGCCACCCAAGTTACGTCTATATAACTCAGTGTCACAACACTGACATATATGGATCTTTCTCAACTCAAACCGAATATTCTGTAGATTAAGGAGACTCGCCAGTTGGCTTCATTGATTGCCCATTGTACTCATCACTGGCATGCTCGGCTGTTTGTCATTTGCTCTTGCCGCCGAGACATCTATCTACTTCCGTCTATTTCGCTATATAAAGCGCAGTGTGATTGCAGGAAGGTGAATAGTTCCCTCGCTGTCACCACAGTTCTTAGAAGTGATGCGATGAAAAGCGTGGAGGACAAGTGTCTACAAATCTCCTTTGTTCTTGCATGGTTCCGACCAGTCTTTCGAATTTGAGGCATCATAGTCATATATCAGACTCCTGCTCCTCTCAATATAGTGAACATTGAAAGTTTCCTGTGCAAGATGGTTGAGAAGGACACTTTGGTTCAAGGCCCGATATGCGTGGCTTCAACTCAAGTGGACGATGCACAGGATATGCGAGTCAATGTCCAGTCATCTCTCAAACAAAGTTGGGATCTCTCATTTGTGTCCACAGAAGAGAGCAGTAGAATAGATCCACCTCTTAATTACGTGAAAGGCGCGGAATGGTAAGTTTTTGAAACTGACCTGACTGGATGCACGATTAATAAAACTTTGACTAACGGTTACTCGCATAGGTCTCCGGATGGAACCACACTTTTGACTGATTCTGCGGATCATCATATCAGAACCTATATTCTGTAGGTCATGCCGAGGGGGTTGAGACGTTTCTGGACTAACGAGCAGAAATAGACCTCCGGATTTGCTGGAAGGAACATCATCACCGCATCGGCTGGACCCTTACTCTGTCCTGCCTTCAGCAGAGCCAACGTACGCCACTGCAATCTATCCATTCTTCAATCTTCGGGATCCATCTACCACTCTGTTCCTCTCATCAGTCCGTGATCACCCAATTAGACTCGCGTCTGCGCTTGTGCCCACCACTGTGGCAACTTACTCGCTCATACATCCGACGACAGAGGCATTCATTACGCCTCACTCGATGGTGTATCCGCAAGCCCTGGGCGGTACGCACTTCCTCACTGGATCTGACAGCCTGATATGTCTTTTCGACGTATCCCGTCCAGGGAGGGATGGCCCCGTCGCATGGATGCCTACAATACCCAGTAAGCGTAAGCAAATGGTAGGTGGAGGAGTCGGGATGAAGGGTATCATCTCGGCTATGGCCATCAATCCCGTGGGAGATGGTATCTTGGCTGCGGGTACGTTTTCGAGGCAGATAGGTCTGTATGGGGCCAATGGGACTGGAGAGTCTCTCGGGACCTTTAGCATTACAAAGACGGACGCTCATCGCCACATTGGCGGCGCGGGGGTCACGCAACTGCTTTGGAGTCCCTGCGGAAGATATTTGTATATTGCTGAACGGAAAAGCGACGGGGTCTTAATATTCGACATCAGAGTCACTGGGCAGCTTCTTGGCTGGCTAGAAGGTCGAAGGGCCGTCACAAACCAACGCATGAAGATCGATGTAGTACCTGTCGCACAGGGCGAGTCCCATGAGATCTGGGCTGGAGGAACTGATGGATATATGAGGGTATGGCGAAATCCTATACACACTGCCGGACCGCAAAAATGTGACTGGGAATGGAAGGTCCATGATGGTAAGCAAATGATTACGAACTGATTGGGAGTTCAAGGAGCTTACAATATACAGACGCCGTGAGCAGCACTGTTTTGCATCCCATGGGAACCATAGCAGCAACGACTTCTGGTCAGAGGAGTTCCTCACGTGATATAAGTGCTGTGAACGAGACGGTTCATCCTACGAAGAAGGTCGATAATAGCCTGAAAGTCTGGTCGATGCCATTCCTAGATACCGCTGTCAGTTGAAATATTTGGCCTCAGTGATGGTTCCAAGAAATGAGACGATGTCAAGGTCGAGCTATGAGCCTGGTTGTGTTCGTCAGCCGAGTAAGAGGGTGCAGTAATATGGGACTGGTACGTGGATCTGCTTGCAAAATGATAGAGGAACTTAAGGTTGCTAAATAGCTCAATAGCCCTGTTGAGAGGCTGTCATTGCGCCTGAATTTGATGGGGGCTCACCGGCTATTGTACATTGCTTCTGGTCGGGACCTTAATGAGCGCAATCCTCTGCTCAGAGCATGAGCGTCTCAACAATAGCGTTGTTGCGCAACGCAGCACCTCAATGACCTATTGTCTCCAGAGCCTCAATCAGACGCACAATTAGGCCGCCATCAACACTTTGTTGCCAATATCCACCATGGAATTAATTGTCTCGCGGCGTGGTCTGCATGGCTTTGCTTCGAGATGCCTCGAAGACCTATTGTGTCCCATTGAACTGGGACATCTTCGAGTAGCAAACTTGCAAACTTGCCCTCATTATTTCCATTTTTGGAACACCGCCCACCCTACTATGTTTGCAGGCCCCAAGCACATGGCATATTCCGCTTTGTTAACGGTATCTGCCGTCTACTTTCAGGTTTTTGATGCTCTGTTATTCACCTCATGCTTGCTGGCCCCAACCTCCCTCCCTCTACCTTCGAGTCTCATGTCGTCAAATACAATTTTCACTTCTACACATCTCTCTTATACTCTACGAACCATCTCTCTTCTCTCATACTTCCTCAGACCTGCCAATCGTATCCTTCTTTTCTTACTCAGTGTCTTCCAATCATTATCTTGCACTCATACAGCTTCAAAAACTGTCTATCTTGCAATTTCAAGCGAGCTTCTGATCGTTGTTGTGACTGTCAAGTAAATGGTCGCGAGGATGTGGCCTCAGTTTCCTGGTGCTCCTGCTGAGACTATGGGTCATCATACCGAGATGCAGAGTACAATGCCCTCTCTGCCAGGCTCTCCTACGGCTATGGAAGGTCTCGCGTAAGTCTTTGACCAGCCGTCTATGCTTAATATCCTCTAACGCCGGTCAAACTAGGCCGGTCTCTCATCAGCACGCTGAAACTGCCCTGCAGGGTGAGCAGGAGCAAGGATCCCACTTTGACAATGCTTTCTTCGATCCAGATGACATATCATTTGACAAAGTGCCCACTCATGTCCCTGACAGCTTTGACTGGGAGACATTTGATAAAACATACAGAAGTTCTCATGAGCAAGGAGCAAATGTCTTGTTCGAACGCCGCAACCTCATCCCGACTTACAATGCCCGTGGCTATGGAAACATCCAACGTCATGCTGATGACCACGGCGACGAGGCCCAGTACGCTGAGATCTTCGAAAGGGCAGTTGAGACTCGCAACAAGGGTCAAGTCGACGCTGATTTCTGGGAAAATGCCATTCTGTCTCCCATTCCTCCTAGTATCAGTTCTGTTCTTGAGATGTCACCTGTGCAGCATCACAACAACACACCCAGAGTCCAACACATTGAACAAGGAACTGCGCATCATGGGCTTGGCGGCTTCAATGCTCAAGACCACGAACAGAAGGATGACATGCCCAGTTATGGCAACCCCTCTGCTCAGCACCACGATGTCTCAGTTGAGTCCATCGGTGTTGGCAGTTCCAATGTCGAAATCCACAAGGACACGGACCCTGCTTGCACTGGTGACACATATGATGCTCATCACGACGTGGAGATGATCGAAAGCCGCACGTCCGAAAGTCTAGATGCTGGCACTCCCGTCGCACAAGCCTACGTTCAAGCTGTCGAAAAACCTGCAAAGAAAACTACTCCTACCTTTGCCAAACAGTCGGACGGAGGTAGAAGAAGAAATGGTAATCAAGGCCAAAGCTGGTATGTCCTCGTCGTCCGTCAATCCTTCCCACCACGGTGGACCTCTAATGACCTTTATCGGCAATGCTAGGAGCGAGCCAATTCATTCAGACTTATCCGGAGAGAAAGATGAAAGTTCCGAAGCACAGTCCTCGTCCCAAAAGAATTCGGGTGACAGCACTCCTCCATCCGCAAATATTGAGGACCTTATTGACCCTGCACTTACCGCATCGATTCAGAACAATGTTCCCAATTCGGAGTCTGCCAACATGACCTCTCATCCGGCTCACACTGCCGAAAAGACATACGGAACCACTGCTGACAGCCAGGAGGCACAGCTGGCGTACCCCTCTAGAAGCCAGGGCGTTCCTACTTCCATGCAAGACCAGTCCCAACAAGACTCGAATGGCTCTGCTGTTCTCAATCATCCTACGAACAACCAGGCACACCGGCCCCCAACCGTGCAACAATCGCAACGTCGATCTTTGAGCTCCGCTGCGGCTACCAATCATGTTGATCAAAGCCAAGAACATCCTGCGCGGGATATCTCAAATGAGCAACAGCAAATTCAACCCCGGCCAGTCAACTCTGAGAGACCTGCCCAAGGCAAGGCAACTCAAAGCCCACATGCATCCGTGGTCTCCGTGGCCGCTTCCAATGATTATCATAGCAGCGAGGCACCTCAGGTCTTATCGGAGCAAGCCTCGTCTGATTCAGCTGCTGACCGACGTAAGAAACCGACAGTTGTGGACAAACAATTTCCACCAATCGATACGATACCCGGATTACCGACCTCTCATGAGCTTATGAACCCCGAGTGGAGCAGACCGGAAATACAAACCACTGGAGTACAAACCAGTTTCGCGTCCTTGGAAGAGGCGATGAGTGCGCTTGATTCTCCCAAAGGACCTGGTCGCGACCCGCATTTGGTAGTAGGGCAGGCGCAGAAGATAATGATTGTAAACTCTTTTCTACGGGCAATGATGAATCTTGACGGCGTCGATGACAAAGACAAAACCACACTTGTGTGGAAGAACACTATGCGAAGAAAACCTGTGGAAATTGAGGCCGCTTGTTGGAACGTGCTGGTAAGTCTCTGTGGCAACATGTCTTTCGACGCTTTACTGACAATTGAGTAGGAGCTCCTCATCGAGTATCACCGCACAATGCCGTTGCCACCTCCCAAGGAGGACAAGAAGAAGGGGGGCAATAAAGGTCGCAAGGACAAAGAGGAGAAGGAGGAGGAGGACGACGAAGAGGATGAAGGAGAGAAGACGAAGGTCAAAGATCCCGCCAAAACCGGGGCGCTACTTTCCTTCCCGGACAGGGTTGCGGCCATTGTCCGGATCTTTTATACCAACAAATCAACCTGCAAGCGGATGTTAGACTACCATGGCAAATACATCCGCGAATTCGTGGACACCCCGCTGGAGTGTCTGGTCCGCTGCCGCGCGAACATTATTGTCAACGAAAACAAGGGAGGGCATATCAAGACCGGAAGGGCCGTCGAGGCAGCGGCGATGACAGAGGGGGATGGGAAGAAAAATGCGACGGGAAAGGCGAAGGGCAAGGCGAAGGGCAAGGCTGAGGCGGAGGCTGAGGCAGAACCACCAGTCGGCGGAGGTTCTGCTGACGAAGCCCATGAAGTCGAGGACGCCGAGAAGGCCGGAAATGACTCTCAGGAATCTGTCGCTATCCAGGATCAAGACACTTCAGGTCAGCGTGGTCCCTCGTATGCGTCGGCGGCACACGGGCAGTCAAGCTACGGCCACAACGGACAGTACTCACAGGGTTATTCCATGCAAGGCCAGAACAATACCGGGTACCACCGAGTTATGAGCAATGCCGGACACAACCAAGGCATGAACAATAACAGACACGTCCCAGGCATGACCTATACAGGACAGTATCAAGGTGTGACCAATACCGGACACATCCAAGGAATGACCTATACCGGATACAACAATATTAACCCCGGCGTGTCCAATACCGGCCAAATCCAACGCACGATCAATACCGGACAATTACCTCCTACAAACACCAGTGGACTTCACCCAAGCATGGTCCCCATGGATCAGGCGCTGAACGCCGCTCGTCATGCCTATGGATCACACTCCGAATATGACCAGCACAGCATATCTCCTGATTTCAGTGCAACTGCTGGTCTGGCTTCTGATGCTTCAATTTCTCACGCGTCATCAATGGATCCTTACCTATGGGCAGCAAACATGAGTTGTGAGATGCCGCCGCCGCCTCAACTGCCCCCTCAAATGCCAACTTATTATCGGCCGACTTTGACTCCCACTTCAATGGTTGACCCGAATCCCGTCGTTTCGGCAAGCATGGGATTGAACCCTGGTTTGCCGCCAAACAACCAAACGCGCGGCCGCAAGCGGGGATCAGCCGAAACTGGAGCCGATGAGAACGGCCCTCCTACCAAGAGACATCGTTAGAGCAAAGAATGACTCAGCCTCCAGTCATTCTTGCTTTTTCAATGCATTCGACACTTAAGTCGCGTTCATCGTCTATTACATTGGCGTCACAATGCTTTTCATCGAACTGGCGAGGCGCCTGGGGCTTGCGATCACTTTAGTATCACTTTATTGTCTTTCCTGAACCTCGTTTCTCTCATCTACTGGCTGCTTCGGTGCAATGCATCTCTCATTGGTGTCTGGCTCATTGTGTTTCATCAGCAACTTCTATTCGCAGCTTAGGATGTGATACCTTTGTTCGAAGGCGAACGCTATCTTGTTTTCCTTGGTTATGCTCTTGTGCAATACACCAGAATCTCATTCCGCTGACTCGATCCCTCTGGAAAACGAACGTGATGACATTCAATCGTTTGTGGCATTTGGCGCTTGGGTTGCCTTTGTTTGCTCGTTGCCTACTGTTACTTCACTGTCACCGCCGCATTCTGATACCCTCTGCTGGCGTTGGCGAAGATATCCATCCATTTCCACCTGCGTTTGATCGTTCGAATCCCTTTGTTTCTCATCACGTACTTAGTACGCTATGGAATCTAGCTGTTTGTTTCGACACGCAGCCGTCAAATAATCTGTACATTAATAGATGACACGTTTGTCTATTCGCCCTTTCCTGTTATTTCTGGCATGAAATCTCTTCCTGGCTTGGTGCACCGGCTTTGCTATGCATGGCTTTGAACTGGATTATGCCATCATTGCACTGATCCTTTGATTAATCTATCGCTGCTGATATGCTAGTTTGCTATTGACGTATTCACATCGCTTCATGTACAATATGAGAATGGAACAGAAAAGACAACTGTAACTAGAGGAAATACACAGGGCTATGCAGGACGAATACCGTACTTCTCGTAATGAAAGTCTTCCAAAGTCGAAACCAACTCTCCCCATCCATCGTCAAGCTCGCCGGGTTTACCGGCGCCTTGAATTCTCCACGCCGCCAACTCCTCTGCCTCCTTCTCCGGGACGGACTTCTCCTCTTCCTTATGTTCACCCGTCAGCCCAGCCAATACCTCCGCTTCTCGGCCCTTGTAAGCCCCTAGTAGGCCCGGGTGAGGACACCAAATTACCCGCATTCCAGCTCGGCGTCCCGCCTCGACACCAGGAACCGCATCTTCAAAGACAAGACACTCTTCCGGCCTGATCTCAGGTTCTCCTCGCTGCCGCAAGCCCTCGTTGATCGTCTCAAGAGCGAGCAGATAGATATCCGGTAGCGGCTTTCCTCTTCCCGTACCAATTCGAGGATCGTCACCTAGTACGCGCTGTGACTCGGGAAACGCAGAGAACAGATCCTGTAGATGGTCGGTCTTCAGTTTGAAATTCTTGCTATGCGATGATGTTGCCAGGGCAATGTAGACTGGTTGGTCTGTCTTCTGGGTCGAGAGAAGCTTGGACAGGAGAGTTCTGACGCCCGGTAGTGGCTGCGACTGCGGGAAGTACTTGGCTTGCAGGGCGGCCTGCTTCGCGCCGTATTCCTCGGGGCTGATGGGGAGTTGAGCCCAGTGGTGGAAAATCTTGCTTGCCTATACGGTAGAATATTAGGACGGAACATAATAGTGTTGAGACAAGACCTTCGACTCTCAATGGCTAAGTGGACTGAAGATGCGGGGCAGGACTCACCTCAGGCTGCGGTCGACCCTGCAATTGAGCCTTGATTTCCCAAGGGAGTAGCGGCTTTCCGAATTCCTGGAGAATTGCGTTCGTGATCTCTGTGTATTTGTCCTCTGAGTCGATGAGCAATCCATCCATATCAAAGAGGCATGCCCGCACGCGGGGAAATCTGCTAGCGAGGGGCAGTCAGCAGGGTGGAACTTCCATGAGCATTGAAACGAGTGAATCTGGGCCTGAGAACTCACTCAGACGCGCTTTTGGTCATGGTGATGTATGTCGTTTCGCAAACGAAAAGGATAGTGCAGAGTGACAGGAGGATCAGATCTTCAATTGTCGTTCAAAGACGCTCAGATAAGGCTACTCCACACTCGTGTCAATCAGCTTGGATGTAAGTTTAACCCAGTCGGGAATTTCTTTCGTGCCGCTTTACTATCGAAGGGAACGGTCCGATTGCCCGAGGGGGCTTCCCGATTATCGATAACTATCCACTCAAGCTTCCAGGCTTCGAGGCGGCGTTCTCAGGAGCCTTCACTTTCACTCTCTTAATGCTCTGAGGCAACATGACTACAGAAAATTTGAATAAGAATCCACAGAAAGCCGACCCTGGGTCCGATAGCGAAAGCGAGGATGTCTTCCACGATGCACGGTTCCCCGCAGAAGAAGAAGCTGTGAGTTGCCCATTGCCGCTCTCCTATGACAGAGTTGCTGATGCTCATATCGACCGTCCTAACAGCGCCTCTTGAAAGAATCTCACGAAATTAAAACAGAAGCAAACAAACTGTTTACGGCTGCCTGCTATGATCAGGCTATTTCCTGCTATGACCGTGCCCTTGCCTCGTGTCCCAATTACCTCGACTATGAAGTTGCCGTTCTTCGAAGCAACATGGCTGCATGCTACCTGAAGCTGGAAGACTGGAAGGCATCTGTCGACTCTGCAACTGCCTGTCTTGATCGTCTGGAAAACATCATCCCGCTGTCTCCACAACAGAGTCCGGATAAGGAGCTAACGAAACGAAACTCTCAATCGCCAGAACAGACAGACGCGGTGGTCGAGATTTCCGGTGAAAACGAAGAGGCAGAGGAGGAAGAGCTCAAACGGTTACAGAGAATGGACGAGAAAAGGAACGACGTGATGCGGATTCGGGCAAAGGCGCTTATGAGGCGTGCGCGAGCGAAGAGCCAGCTCGGCGGCTGGGGAAATTTACAAGGCGCCGAAGAGGACTACAAAGTGCTTGCTGGGATGGACAACCTACCTGCAGACGATAAGTTGGTTGTGCTGAGGGCGCTCCGCGAGTTGCCCGGGAGGATAAACCAGGCACGGGAGAAGGAGACGGCGGAGATGATGAGTAAACTGAAGGATGTGAGTTGACAATTCTTCCATCCTGACGCTGTTGAAGCCCTGCTAACTCTTCACGCAGCTCGGGAACGGCATCCTCAAGCCATTTGGACTGTCAACGGATAATTTCAAGTTCGTCCAAGATCCTAAGACTGGCGGCTACAGCATGAATTTTCAATCATGATCATAATGAAGAGGCCACACTTCCCCATCTCTGAGAACGGCTTCCTTATTTTTTCCTTGTAGGATCGCTATATAGTGTGGAGGCGCGACGTGGAAGACCCTATATTCCCTTTCTCCTCATATATACACTGTCTTCGTAGGATAAGGCACCGTTAGCTCACTTGGTTACCAGAGTAATAGAGGCCACCACGCCACCGACGATGGTCCACTACACAGTTTTGGTTCTCTGTCTGTACATCTAGGACTGAATGGAATTGGCTCAGTGCTTTTCACGCCTTCCAATCAAATCCCTCCGCGATACAGAAACTTTATCTCTTGGTTCTATGGCACCCTCGGCATTTTCATGAGGGGGAATTGCGGGGCAATGGCCTGATGATGATGGGGGGATATCCGATAGAGGTTCTGGGTCTTTCACCTCAATTTAACAGCTTCAGACAACTCGACTTCGGCCCGGCTTGAAGAATGTCTCTGGAGGATGGCTCGCACAACTCCTCGCTTCAGTGGAGTCATTCAGTGAATCATTCTCATCTCTACCGCATACGAAACCAAGATCACTCTCCAACGGAATGTGGAACGAAGTCGTTGGAAAGAGACCTTATGATTCGGAATTACCCCTCAACTTTGTTGACAACTTGACCATCAAAGCTCATGAAGTCAGATCCGGCATATTACTGGGTGAGTTTATTACCGAAGTATGGAGAGCTACCAATGGGGAGGTTAATTGACGCCTTGGGTTGTCCTACAGGGAGACTCAAGGCCATGAACAAGGCTCTGGATGCTGTCGAGCTCTTTCCTACATTTTTCCGCATCAATCTGCTGTCTTCAAGACTTGTACTCAGCGGGATTTACTACAATGGCAGCCATTATTCAGTCAAGATTGCTGGGTGAAATTCGAGGCAAGGCACATGACGGCGTGAGTCAGTTTCTGGGCATTCAATACGCTACTCTCAAAGACAGGCTCGCAGACGCGGAACTCATCGAGCAGCGTGAAGGTAATATTCTCGACGCGAGCAAGGATGGGTAAGAGTGGCACAAAATATACCACACGTCAGTCAACTAATGCAAGGAACCTGTCTAGCCCCACTGCTGTGTCTCCTTCGTTCGGGTGTGACTTTGAACTTGGCCACATTCAACATACCCTTCCAAAGAAAGAGCTTCCTCAATCGGACTTGAATTGTCTTAACCTGAACATTACCGTCCCGGCGGGCACAACAGAAACCTCCAATCTTCCTGTGTTCCTCTTCATTCACGGCGGAGGGCTGGTGCTTGGAGCTAACTCCTGGCCACAATTCGATTACGCACGGTTCGTCAAGTTATCTGTTGAGAAGAACTTACCTATAGTGGCTGTTTCTATGAAGTAAGGCCACTACCCTGACGCGACATGGGCAAGGACTCACTCTAAACAGTTATCGTCTCGGTGCATTTGGCTTCCTTACTTCTGATGAACTTCGACGGGCTGGGTACAATGCCAACAACGGGCTCAGAGATCAGAAGGTGGCCATGAGATGGGTGCAAAAACACATTGCCAATTTTGGTGGAGATCCGGATAATGTGACACTCGCGGGGATGAGCGCTGGAGGAGGTATGTCTAGCTCATTGTTTTCCACTACGTTACAGGCATACTGAACTTTGCTAGCGTGTGTAACATATCACCTCGACTCCGACGAGCAACTCTTTAAGCGGGCTATTGTGATGAGTGGTACCTGTCTACTTATTAAACCCTTGCCTTACGATCTACATGAGCAGAACTACCAGCAAGCCATTGCAGCATTAGGACTGGCCGATGCCAGTCCAGGGGAAAGAATCAAAACTCTACTGGAAACACCGGGTGAGGACTTGG